ACCTGCTTCGTAACACACCGCGCACGCAGCAGAACCGCTTGTGAACTCGTGCTGCAAGATCCAGTTTCTCACGGGTACAGACTGAAGGTTCGGGGTTTCATCAAGTTCGTTAAAACTCCCAGGGACTCTCTGAAGGTCGAAAGCCTGACTCAGACACTGCTAAAATCAATGCAAAGACTCCTGTGGATTTCAGGGTAGTTTATGCCAAGCTGTCAGGAACTATGAGAAGAAAATTTTCAGAAAACTGGCCTTCCTGTGAGATTACCATCTTCGGCACTTGTAGTCAGTGCTCTCTCCCACCTGCGGTGTTCATGAATTTCTAATTAATATATATCATTTATTACCAGTTGTTCTATCTTGTGCTTGAAGGGGGAGACTAGATCACAGAATCACAGAACCCCAGGATGGTTGGGGTTGGCAGGGACCTCTGTGGGTCACCCAGCCCAACCCCCTGCCCAAGCAGGGTCACCCAGAGCAGGCTGCACAGCACCGCGTCCAGGCGGGTCTGGAATATCTCCAGAGAAGGAGACTCCACAACCTCCCTGGGCAGCCTGTTCCAGGGCTCCGTCACCCTCAGAGGGAAGAAGTTCTTCCTCGTGTTCAGACAGAACTTCCCATGCTCTAGTTTGTGCCCGTTGCCCCTTGTCCTGTCAGTGGGCACCACTGAAAAGAGTCTGGCCCCATCATTCTGACATCCACCCTGAAGATATTTCTAAGATCCCCTCTCAGCCTGCTTTTCTCCAAGCTGAGCAAGCCCAGCTCCCTCAGCCTTTCCTCACAGGAGAGATGTTCCAGTCCCCTCCTCATCCTCGTAGCCCTCCGCTGGACTCTCTCCAATAGCTCCTCATCTTTCTTGAACTGGGGAGCCCAGAACTGGACACTGCAGATGGGGCCTCAGCAGGGCAGAGCAGAGGGGGTGGAAAACCTCCCGCGACCTGCTGGCCACAGGTCATAGCTACCTTAGTGCTCCGATGCACCTAACACCTTGCGCGACGTGGTGTGCAGGGATGGCGGTGGCTTAGCCCACCACCCCTTCCCACCAGCACGCCCCAGCACCTCCTGAAAGGCAGTCCTGGTCCCAGAGCTCCTCCTTCCACCCAAGCTGTGACCAGGCTGGGCCTAACGGTACAGAACAGAAGGAAACAGGGACCCTTTGGTCAAATGACTCCACTCTGAGGAGGGAAAGACAACGCGCAGGCATGCTGCGAAGAGTGACTCCTGCCAACACGCCAGATCCCTCCTGATAAACACAGCGACGAGAGCCTGCAGCTGCTGGAGGTACTCACTCCACAGCGAGCACCACACGTTTGTACTTGAGAGAGTTTCTGGATCGCCCGCCGTACCGTCAGGAGCGTTTTGAGGTGTGGGGGGGGCATTTTAAAGTCCTCCTGGTGAATGCAGGTTACGGAGCAGCACTGGAACAAGAAGCAAACGTCACACAGAGTATTTCCAAGCCTGCAACCTTCTTGGATGTCATTTTTCACACAAAGAAGAGATTCCTTTTTGACAATTTCTCATGCTCTGGTATTTCTGAGTTTTCCAGCCTCAACTTCTGCACAAGGAGTTCTCCGCTTTACCTTCTGCTTCCAATCCAGAGGACGTAGAAACCCACTATAATCACTCCTCTGTGGCAGCAAAGGACACCAATCTCCATCTCAGGCTCAGCATTCTGGTCTTTAAATCAGCAAACATTTATTCTCTTTTACAGAAATATAAGCTAACCTGGAGGGAATGAGATTCTCCAGATTGAGGGCTTACCAAACAGTGTTTATCCAGAGTGTGATTTCCAAACCTCCAGAGCTTCTCAGTCCATTACCGCAGTTCCAACAGCCTTGGCTGCCTTGTCTCTCTGAAGGAAGCAGGGATGAGGATTCCAGCACACAGCACGAGAAATCTGGAGAATTCCCTCTTCCTTTATTCACCACGAAAGTAGCTTTCATCTGTATTGTCTGCATTCCCACCTGAGGAGTAATTAATTCCTTAATTTCTGGCAACATTTATTTTCCACGTGATCTAATCGGTTTTTAGAAGATTTTCCCCCCCCCCTCTAATCTCTCCCTGATGAATTCCTGCCTCTCTGCATTAGCGTCTATTCCCTGCGCATCGGTTGGGAGCCAGGCTGTGATTTCAGCCTCACAGTTCACAAACTTCACCCGCTGAGGGAGGGAGAGGAGGGCAGGAAGAGGTCTCTGCAGGAGTTTTCAGGTGTATTGTTCAGCGCTGGTTTACATCTGGGAGTCTAAAAATATTTTAACCTTAAGGACTCAGCTTCCTTTGAAATAAAGGAAAACCCTAAATTAAGCTGTGAGTGGGCTTGCACTGTAGCTCCTGTTTTTTTAACACAAAACCACAAAGTGTGAGGGACTATTTTATGACTCCCATTGCTGCTCCATTAAGCATTAGGTTACCGCTCTCCTATCAGGGTGATTAAAGCCAAATACGCAAATTCACAGCTACGCTTACCTGCGCGAGCCGGCAGTCCCGTGGGAGCTAAGTGTGGGTAGTCCTGATACGAGGGTGGCTTGACTCCAGTGCAGCCCATGCTTGCCTTTACAGAACTGAACTATGGCATGATGCCTAATTTGTCCAGATGTGACCTGATGGGACATCTATCACCCCAATAGGCAGAGACCTTCCTTCTGTCCAGATGCCTGGTCATCCCAATGGGCAGAGACCTTCCTTCTGTCCAGGTCCCTGGTCATCCCAACGGGCAGAGACCTTCTCTCCAGATGTCTCATGAGCTGGTTCCATGGCTGTCTTTTCCAGCCTGTGTAGATGAAAAGATAGCCTTCTGAAGACACTTCCATTTTCTTCACACTTTCACTCAGTGAAGGCTGCTGCTTGACAGTGATGAGCAAATACCGTGCTTTCTTTGATCGTGGCATCTCAGTATCTGTCTCAGCCATGTTTTTGTACAGATGTCTGTGTGACAACTATCACAGAATCACAGAATCAAACCATGGCACACAGACTCTTCTTTCTCCATTGACTTCATATGCAGCGTGTTCTTTACTGAAGATTTTGCAGGAACAGCATAACCGAAGGACCGCACACTCGTTTGGCTGCATGTAGTTTCTTCCGTTTCTGAGCTCAGATACTTATGAAGTGGCAGGCTGTCTTGACACTGGCACTGTTGAAATTTCAAGCCCTTAATGGTACAAGCTAAGAAATCCCATAGGAAAAATGGGTTGGAAAAAAAGGCTTCTTTCAGTGTATTTGATGCTAAAGATGCAAAAGAAGTGTTTGCACTGAAGCAACCACTCAAAAAAGTAGGCAGGAGTAGATGAGAGAAAAGATGGATCGAGAACCACAACACAGTTACTGTCTGCTGAACAAGATGCCAAGCGAGCGCTGCAAATCTGTGCGTGTGTGGACGTGAGAAAGAGCAATTCCCTCACCTCCGGTTATGTCAATAGCTACGGCTCAGAGAAAAACATCTCCTCCATTCCTGTAAGACACCTCTGTTCAAAAAGAACTTAGCATTTGAGTCTGATAACGTCACACAGATATAGAAGTTAATGAGATGCAATTATTGTCTGAATCCAGAGTCAAAATGAAATTTTAGCTAACACATAACATATTTTCGCTACTGATCCAGATGTAAATTCAATCCACATGGAAACAAGTATCTCAGGTTCATTAAGTATCTCAGAAGTCACAAAAGTCGTTACTATATAATTACTGATTGTTCTTAATCCGCAAGCATGGTTTCACGCCTGTGCAACGGAGAGGAAGCTCGACAGCTCCAGATGCTGCAGCAACACGATGTCCCACGAAAGCTCATACGATGCAGCTGGACGTAAAACTTCAGCGAGGGGCTACAAGGGTGACGCTGGCCCTTGGTACGGAGCTGGATGGCACCGAGAAGACCGCAGCCAAGACTGCATCAGTCGTGCAGGGCAGTTAGGCCAGCCCACTCCTTTCGGGTGCTCTGCAAATACTTGCACGGTCAAACATCCATCAAAGCCTCTGTGTGTTACCCCCGAGTAATCTGTCCGTAAATATTCTTTGCAACGCTCACGTCCCATTCACGCGAGCCTTTCAGCAGACTCCCTACCCGAGCCCAGCGAGCAGATTTTAGCTCTCTGTCAAATACGGAACTCTTCGACTGTCTTACACCAAGAGGGAGGAAATACCGATATGTTTACGTTAAAACGATGTTTTAATAAACAGCAGCATAAAATAATCAGTGTTTAATATCATCTCTGGCATGTGAAATACAAAAATGCACATATCTTTATTATAAAATAGCCTTTGTTGTTACATTTTCATGCTCGCCTAATTGAAATGCCCATAATTAATAAATCAATCATCAAGTAATACAGTGATTAAACGCATGCAGTGAAAACAAAGAAAAATATTTGTATAAGGTAGTGGCTGAATATCACCATAATATATTTCAAGAACATCTACATCACGTTAAAAATAAAAAGAAAGAGACCAAGGTATAAAATGCAGAGATGTATTTTCACTTCTGCTGTACAAAACATTATCACACTTTTGTGCAAAAAGATAAAAATAAAGTCATATTGTACAACATTGTCAACTGAGCAAAAGATTGTTCTCGTTCTGTGTACAACAAAAATACTATTCAGTACAAAAAAGTCTGTGAAAAACTGTGGCGTACACAGCACTTTTGTAACTCATTAAAGTGGTTTCAAATGAATAATCTAGATTGCTTATACCTGAATGAACTTTTAGTAATTGTACAAATGTCATATTTGGAAGTCGAAAGTTAACGCTAATTCACATTATTAGAGTTGATAGACAGAATTGCTATCCACGGATTTGCTGCCCGATGGAATGCGAGTTTCCCTTTTTTCAGGGTTACTGGAGCCATGGTCACTGAAATTCCACATCGATCTGAAACAATAAATAATCCTGGGAAAACTGATTGTCATCCAAAAAATTGCGCTTTGGAGCCTTTCCGTTAAACAGTTGCATAGCAACAAAAGGATATAAAATTTCTGCTGTAACTACTAGATTCTGAAATGTTATCTTCGAATGAGTTGATTCAGGTTCTGAAATTAAAACCCTTTAATTTCATTTCCTTTAAGGCAATTTCTTAGAACTCCAGCCATCTTCAGCAGCCAATAGCAGATGGTTTTTCTAGCCCGCAAGTTGATAACTCAAGCTATTGTGCTGTCATATAAATGACTTTTTTTGGTCTGAATCTGGACTCACACTCCCAACTTAATGAAAGACCCAAATGCTACCTGAAGTAATTTTATTCAGCTTTCAGATCACATAGTTGAAACATCATCCTTGACTGCAAAATTTACAAATATTTTACCTAGCTATTGGAACTGAAATTGCACACCCAGTAGATCTCCGAATATTTGCATCTCCTAAAAAAGAGACAAATATTAAACTAAGTTTTCAGTATAAAAAAAGTTTCTGTGATTTAAACCACACCAGAGGTTTAAAAGCTGTGGGAAAAGCGTATGATAAAAGGCTGTTATTGAAAAGAAAAAAAATCCCCCTTCCCCTTCTTGAATTGTCGGTGGCATTTCAAGAAACAACGCGTCCGTTGACGAAGCTGAGTATTCCTACCACAACGATCTTTGTCTGGTTGAGTCTGCCCATCCTGTTAAGCAGTTGAACTTCACAGAAGATACTCGCTGCAATGTCTGTTAAACAACCAGAAGAATCTTTAATAAAATATTTGAATATAAATCTTTGCTACGACTTTCTAGTTTGTATTGTAAATAGTTCTATTTACAAAGGCCTCGCTTATTTACAATTCGGCTGAAATCATAGATTCATTAGGTCCATGGACACTGGAGTCTCCTAATAGGGAAGACTGCTTTGAGTCAATTTTGTACGGTTTTTGAGTTTTGTTTCCAAAAACTGTAATTCCAATTCCCCCCGGGTGATTGGGAATTGACATGTGAGACAGCAAAGGAATATTCGCTTCCTGGTTGGATCCCGAAGACGGCAAACTAGTGACGTGACCTGTGCTCGTCGACCCGCTGGCGCTGCTCGGAGAACGACTCTTTGGTGGAGGACAGTGCTGGATCACCCTGGGTGGACCTTGCGGCTGGTAGTGGGCAGCTGGGAAAGCAGCGTATCCTGGCGGAATGGGGTACCCGTTGATCGGGATGTACCGCTGGTTTTGAGGTATCGGTGGTCCAATGAACCCGGCGATTTGGCCTTGCGGTATTGCTTGCGCTGGGAACATGTAGTTAGGGTACCTAGGATTACTGAGATTACTAACGGGACTCGCGCTGAGGGAAGTCGTTTGAGTGGTGGCATTCCCACCGGAGGGGGTAGTAGAACTGGTGTGACTTGAAAGACCCTCCCACGAGCGCAGCCTGGCATGGATTTCTTTAAATCGTGGCCTCCGGGATGGGAGATCATGCCAGCACTCTGTCATCAGGCTATACATTCTGGGAGGACAGTCTTCAGAGCATGGCAGCAGTTGTCTTTTCCTGATCATCTCTATGACTTCTTGATTACTAAATCCATAATACGGTTGAAGTCCAAAGCTGAATATTTTTCACAAAACAACTCCAAATGACCAAATATCTGAATCGGAAGAGAACTTGCCGTACATAATCGCCTCCGGTGGCATCCAGCGAATTGGCAAGAGAGACTTGTTTTGAACTCTGTAGTAATCTGCTGAGTAGATTTCTCTCGAGAGTCCGAGGTCTGAAATTTTCACATGAAGCTGTTCTCCAATTAAAATGTTACGAGCGGCGAGATCTTTATGCACAAAAAAATGACTTGATAAGTACTCCATGCCTGCTGCAATCTGGACTGCAATGTGCAGGAAATCCCCATGGTCCAGGCTGGATTTGACAGTCCCATCCTCATCGCTGCTGCATCCAACATCCGAATGCGGCGATCGCATGATCAGAAACTCATGGAGATCTCCTTGGTTCATGTACTCGAAAAGCATGCAGACCGGCTGCTCCTGGGTGACAACACCTAAGAGGCAAACGATGTTAGGGTGATGGAGCTCAGCCATGAGCGACGCTTCTTGCTGGAACTCTGCCCACTGCTGGGGGTTGTTAAAGTCTTTTAGAGTCTTGATAGCAATGAGCTGAGCGTGATCCATGCCTGGAAGGTAGAGATGTCCCTTGTAGATCTTGCCGAAAGCACATTCACCCAGTTCTTCCATGAAACGAACAGCAGAGAGAGGCAACTCCTTCGCCTTACTCTGTTAAAGAAACGACAGCAAAAACAAGTCAGAAAAACAGGACTGAAAACATATTTTTAAGTAAAATATCTTCTCGCACGGCAAGTCTGAAAGCCAAGCAGCCTAACCTGGGCATGATCCTGCTCCGCCCTGCGAGACGTGGCATCAGCCCCAGGACAGGTACAGCCCGAGGGACACCAGCATCCGACAGCGGCAAAGCTCAGGGCTGACGGCCGCCTACTCTCTGTGCACCCAGCTCCAAAACTACATTTCATATTACTTTTCACCCTCCACACAAGATCAGATACAAGTAGTAAGTATCAGATGTAAATATATGCAGGAACCATCAGCATTTCAGCAAAGGTATTCATATACTTGGGCATTCATATACTTATAATTGAATCTGACTAATTTCAGGAATTGAGGCAATGCACATACTTCAAGTAAGTACGTGCTGAAGTGTTTTCTGGGCCAGGGCCTAAAGTTTCAGCAGAAAACTATTTGTTAAAAACCATGTCCTTGTAGCCAATTCTTCCTCAACTTTGCTATTAACCCTTCAGTGTACACTGGCGACTATTTCTCTTCACACTTGCCTGGAAAAGGAGATCGTGGTCAAATAAGAAAGGCAAACTTTTTAAAAACTGTTGTTATTCTGGGTGCATATATTCACTTTTAGGCCACAAAGCAATTGTGCCATATTCAGACGTGAACTTCCACACGTGCTTGTAACGCCTACACGCAAACCCACTCATTCAGGGTCCTCGGTACAGTCATAGGTAGTAATTTAAGGCTAATGAGTTTGGGATCCGTGTTTTATAAATTAGTGTAAACATTAGCGTTTGCATTCCTGGAATAATATAACGGCAGCTTTACAGTGGCAATACAGGAAAAGAACTGACATTTTAAAAAATCATTAAAAAATGGCGTTTTAGAATAAATGAATCCTAATTGTATTGACCACTTACAACTTTTAGAAATTACTGCATTAATAATAATAATAATAATGATAATAATAATAATGATAGAGCCATTTAAGCAGGCAGCCAGTAGACTGTACGGTGATGGCAGGAAATTAGCTATATTGTTGAGGAACAGATGGTTTATATTATACAAATCCTTTAGGCTAAAACTTGTTTAGGTCTGGCATATTGTAAATTATATTTTAGTAATGAAAGTGAAATGACCTCTGTCTGACCTGAGGCTGGGTTCGTCTGTTTGAACCAACATAGTGGAAAACTATGAAAGAAAATGAAGTCATAAAGTTTTGGCAGGAAGGGATCACTTCAAGTTAAGCGGTTATAAATCTGCTTAGTTTTTGTTTGACAAGTATTTGTCATACATCGGTGTACAAAATGTAAAGAAGTGTAAAATACATACGAGGCAGCACGCCAAAGTAAACGGAGTACAAAGAGAGAGCCGGAAGAGCGAAGCCCACCGCCTCTATCTCTTTCTTGGCTCCTTCCATCAGGTGAATGACAAGACGAGCTTATTTGACTGTGTTTTTTGAAGGCAATTAAAATCCCTTAAAAACTGAAACAGGCTTTTGGATGAAATGCTAACATTTTTATTTGTACAAGCAAACACGCATCTACCTCAATTGGAGCTTGAAGCCTAAGCGTGTTTTTACCCAACGTTGACATTAATACTGGATACAGCATTTAAAAACAGGATTCTACTTCCTCTCTTTTAAAATTTGTTTGAAAGGCAATCAAAACATTTGAGATGGGCAGAGCTGGGTGTCCCGGTGGGAAAATACAGAATTAGCATAAATAAGACGGGAAGCTTTTTGCAGCATATGACTTTGAACATCGAAAGAAAACAGCGCGGTCTGTATTTGCCAACATCTCTGGGCAAGCTGCTTTCCCGCGCTGTGTGCAGAAGGCATCCGTGTGTCGGCAGCCTAGGTGGAAATGTGACCTCCCTAAAATGATGCTGGCATTCCCATTATCTTCAGCTTAGCTGAGATTGTATCCCAAATATCTAGTAGAAATGGGACCAAGAAGCAAATCCAAATTTAGCAAAATATTCCGGAGATTGGATGCAAGACGTAGTTTTGACACTTACCTCATTAAATGGTTTCAGTTCTATTACCAATGTGTTGATACACAGCTACCCAAACCCTATACGAAAGCTGAAATTAAGAACTTTAAAGGAAAACGAGCATAAATTCACTCACTCAGTGTGTGGGGGACTGAGGAGTTAAAATACAACGATAGATCAAACTCTGTCTGATCACCTCGAACAGACACCCCGCACGACAGTCCTGCTGGCACCACGACACCAGCGCCCGGTGCCTGCACCACCATTTAAAACAGGAATCCCAGTGTTAGGCTGGGTAACGACTTCTCTGTGTGCAGTCTGCGTTACTAATGGGCAAAAGCAGCACTGCATCTTCCAGTTTGCTTTTATCGCTGACTTCAAAAGACTCTCCTGCTCTTTAGCTGGTGGTGAGCTGGAGGTTTCCTCTGCCACAACTTTCCATGTCCATCCCTGCTGTGCCGAGACTGCAGCTCCGGGAGGTTGTGGAGTCTCCTTCTCTGGAGATATTCAAGCCCTGCCTGGACGTGGTCCTGTGCAGCCTGCTGTAGGTGACCCTGCTTCGGCAGGGGGTTGGGCTGGGTGACCCACAGAGGTCCCTTCCAACCCCGACCATTCTGTGTGTGATTCTGTGAGACGCACGGGGCAGCATCCCCGAAAGGGTGACTGCTGCCTGGACGGCTCAGCTCTGTCCACCCCGGCCCCTTACACCGCTCTGCCTGGATCCCACGGGACACAGCTCCTGGAGTCATCATCCCTAGGCCTCCACAATTAACGCTTTATAACCTAATCCCATAAACTGGACATTTCAGAGCAAGAAATAGCGGTTTCCCATAGCTGCTTTATTGAACTTGAGAAGAAAACGACTCCAGAATTTACCCAGAGATGGAGCACACAGCTCCTGAAGTACAAGTGTAACCTTTCCAGATGCCGAGTGACCAGCTCTGATGAAAGACTACCTACGGCAGCAACAGCTGAAGGTTAGAATTCACATTGCTGAAACTCCACAGAATCTGAATTTGGATTCATTTTGCTACGTCGCTTTCTAACAAAAAGAACAGCTTACTCATAGGCATGTCTGAGTGTTTCCGATACTACAGACTACCCAGCTTCCATTCTCATCACTTACAGATATTGATTCTCACTCTGAAATGCTTCAAAAGAACCATCTCTACCACGTTGTTGACGAGAATTGCCCTGCTGTGAAAAACAAGGCAAATACTCTTTCCAGGGCGTTATTCTGCCCGGCGGTGGCAGAAGGCAGTTACAGCCCTGAAGCGGGTGATCCACGTAGGTTTGCAGATTGGCTGCCCTGCCAATGAACAAGGAGCTCGAGGTTAATCATGCTTAAATCTGAAGTGATTTTAAAAAACGATTCATGAACCAGGGACTATGGTGAAGCAAAACAATACCAGCAACAAGAGCTGCTATGAATCAGCTGTGCCAGCCTGAACTGCAGGCAGATTTCTGAGGCTGTTGCCAAGAAGGCCAATGGGATCCTGGGGTGCATCGAGAGGAGTGTGGCCAGCAGGTCGAGGGAGGTTCTCCTCCCCCTCTACTCTGCCCTGGTGAGGCCCCATCTGGAGTACTGTGTCCAGTTCTGGGCTCCCCAGTTCAAGAAAGATGAGGAGCTGCTGGAGAGAGT